GAATTTTTACATATAGATACTGTAAAAAACGACTCTTTAACAAGAGGACAGTTGTATCGAATATGAATCTGGTAATTTAATGAAAAAAATAGTAATGAACGAATTAAACAGGTTTCAACGTTTTTGAATCTATTATGTACAGTTGTAATTACTATAATAAGTATTGCAGCCTTTCTATAATCACGGAAGTGAAAAAGAGATGGTTTTTCACGTAAAATGAAGTAAAAATTAGGTATAGATAAAAAAGGCTGCCAAATTCTGTTTCAAACTTCCCAAATGAACACGCTCGACGAAATGAAAATTTAAAATAGATTTTAATGTTTCTGGATCTGTTATACCTACGTAATTGCAATTACTGTAATAAGTATTTCTATAATCACAGTGCAAGTGGAAAAAAAAGGAGTAGTGCTTCACGTAAAATTAGCTATAGATAAAGAAAACTGCCTTCAAATTTTCAAATTCAGTTCCGACTTTCCAAACGATCCAATAAATACGCTCGACGAAACGAATTAAAATAGATTTTGGAATGTCTCTGGAATTATTACATCTACATAATTGTAATTATTGTGATAAGTATTTCTATAATCACAGTGCAAGTGGAAAAAAAAAGGAGTAGTGCTTCACGTAAAATTAGCTATAGATAAAGAAAACTGCCTTCAAATTTCCAAATTCCGTTCCGACTTTCCAAACGATCCAATAAATACGCTCGACGAAACGAATTAAAATAGATTTTTAATTTCTCTGGATTTATTACATCTACGTAATTGCAATTACTGTAATAAGTATCGCAGTCTTCTCATAATCACGATGGAAGCAACAAAGAAGTTTTTTTCACGTAAAATTAGCTATAGATGGAAAACAGCTGCCTCGAGGCTTCCAAATTTCGTTCCAAACTACCCGATGAAATATTTTTCGGTCGCTGCGTGAGCGCGGAAACAGAAGGATACGGTGCACGACCCTGCCCTATTGCCCACGCTACTTTCGTTTCGTAAGAGTATGCACGTGTCAGGTAAGCTGACATTCACGAAATAACTATAAATAACGACAGTGGCCGGCGGGAGTCGGCCGATTTTGCCTGGCCGATGCGCACGCGAAAGCAGATTGAGAGAAAACGCGGCGATAGTGGAGCGACTAGCGGCTCGGCCTTCTTCTTCTTCTTCTTCTTCTTCTTCTTCTTCTTCTTCTTCTACGGCGGCACCGATGGGAAAAGCAAGCCAGGCAATCTCATTTTCATGTAGGGCCCGTCGTCTTCGGCCGCGGTACACATTCCTCGCTTGTCAAGCGATTCGCGCACGGCGAATGTCACGGCTGCTGGCACGGAATCCAGCCAGCAGGTAACACGGCCCGCATTCCACGCGATTTCAATCGGAAATTCGGGCTTCCGACCGAATTTTCCATTCGAACGCGTCCACCTTTTATGCGTCCTCTCGCTTCGACTAATCAACCGACCACGTGTATTCCTCCAGTATTTCTACGCGTCGTCGAGCACAGGCGAAATACCTGACTTCACGCCGCAGCTCTGGAAAAGCGCGCTCGCAATGCGTGTTGTCAATTGATTACAATTGATTTTTGACGCGCGTTCATCAAAAGTTTGATGAGTTAACTGTTACCGAGGGGAAAAAAAAGAAATTAGGAAATATGCGGAGGAAATATTAAGCTTGTGATACACCTGTCGTACGCATTAGGCTTGATATTTGGTACGTGTAAGCCTAAGCTTGAAGGTATAGAATTCTTTGGATTGTACTTTCGAGTTAACTGTTACCGAGGGGGAAAAAAAATTAGGAAATATTAAGCTTGTGATACATCTGTCGTACGCATTAGGCTTGATATTTGGTATGTGTAAGCCTAAGCTTGAAGGTACAGAATTCTTTGGATTGTACTTTCGAGTTAACTGTTACCGAGGGGAAAAAAAAATTAGGAAATATTAAGCTTGTGATACATCTGTCGTACGCATTAGGCTTGATATTTGGTACGTGTAAGCCTTGATATTGTAAGGCAATGGTTTGGCAATTTTCTTAATTTAGACGATCATTGTGAATTCAAGCTACGATTCATTTTCATTGTTCGTTGCTATTTCATGTAATTAAACGATGGATTAAATTTTCATGTTACGTGATTAAAAGATAACTGGTTGGATCTCGTTCGTTCGGTTACTTTTGTGAAAATACAAGGGGATAATTGTATTCGCAAGCACAACTCGTCGACGCTCGTACGTTATTCCCCGAAGGAAGATTTGCTAAGGATATAATTAACAAGATAGGTTAATTTGATAGAGCTGAAACGTTCATGACCCAATTGGCGGAAGGTAATGCTGCCTTCTCTAAGTAGTCTAGAAAACCGTGAAATCCGAAATCTGATTTTCCGTACGTTTAACGAGAGTGCTCTCGCAACCAGGTCATCGTTGAAAAAGGTGTATTATTCAAGACACGTATAATTAACGCAATCCGTGGCAATTATCTCGAGATGTTTTCGAGAAGAAAACATTCCTGTCGAGTGTCCTCGTATTTAGTTAAACATACGCTTCACCTCTTTTACTATTATCTACAGCTCGAATCTCGAAACTCGAATCTACGGACGAGAGACGTTGCACCCTCTTGCACGATACGATACGTCACAGATACTTCCGAAACGAACATGTGTACGATCGAAGCTCGATTGATCGAGAACTTTGATATGATCGTTTCATCGAAATACCGATACTGTTCACATCGACATGACGATGGTTGAGTTCAACGTCTGGAATCGACGGTATCGGAATAGAGGTGGCCCGCTCCTAATATGGCGGTGACCATGACGAATGATTTCACCGGACTATGCGAATGACTCACCAGATAATAATCGATGGGCTTCTCGCGTGCCTTGCTGTAGCCCTTCTGAAGCTCCGTCTGCTTAAGGGCATGAGCGATGTGGAGCGCGCTCGCGTCGAACCTTCCATACTGGTAGCTTCCGTCCCCGGAATAATTGTGGTTGTACGGCGAGGACGCGCCTCCGCCGGCGTTCCCGTGGAGATCGCGTTGCGACGAATTCGTGGCCGGCGGTGAACCGTGTCCGTTCAGGTGCCTGGCACAATTAGGCGAGTCTACATTATCGTAACTGCAACAAAATTATGCAACGGGTCTTCAGGGGGGGTAGGGTCTTCGTCGTCGTCGTCGTTCTTGCCGCGCTTTTACGAATACTAAAACGAATCGCTACGTTTTCCACTTGCCCGAGAAGCCGAAATATAAATGTAACGACGAATTTGATCGTCAGGTTTTCATCTTGCATCCAATTGCAATGGAAATCGTCGAGAATGTGTAAAATGTGTAAAAATTTTCCTCCCTACGTTCGAAATAACAATATAAGGAAAAAGAAACAGAAATGCAAAAATGCTCGGTGATTGCAAAACTCGATCATACAACCGTTTTCCACAACGGTTCTCCTCCGTGTATTCGAAACAAACAAGCCAAAGGAACGCGACGAATGCAGAATTCGATCGTATTGGTTTTCGACGTGATTTCCCTTCACGCGTTTCAAACGAAAAATCCCTCAAAAAAGAAAAAAAAAAAAAATACGACGAGTAGAAAAACCCCACCGATCGTTTCGTTTTTCAACATCGAGTCGAAACGAGAAATAATTCGAGCGTGTCGTTGTTTTTGGCGCGATCGTTTCTCGCGTGATCGGAATGAAAAAATCGGAAAGAAAAAAAAAGAAAAAGTACACCGAGCCGAAATCGGCTTCGGACTTCATTTAACTACGGCCAACAGTGAAAAAAGAAAAAAAAAAAAAAAAAAAAGAAGAAAAAAAGAAAGAATTCCTGGTAACCGTGATCCTGGCTCGTGCAACATTTGCCGCGGCTTCCGGCATTTAACATGCAAATTCAACGATCGCGCGCCTCGCAGGAAGTGGGTCAGCCTTTTTAACGGGGCCTTGGAAACATTTGCCTGCATGCAACAACACTATGTCTGTTCATCGATGTCTGCTCATCACGGACGACTGAACGAGCATCCTAGAAGAACTAATTACGGAAAGGAGTCTGATTCATTGGCTCGGCTTAGGAAAAATCCTGACACACGGCGCGCGATGGAACACCGCAACGCTTATGAGAAACCGGAGAGTCTCTGGTTAAATGAATGTGTTACACCTTCTCTCCTTCGTTCTCTTCTCTCCTCCTCGGGGTTCATTCACTTGCGGCTGAAGTCACTGCTTCTTCTTCTTCTTCTTCTTCTTCTTCTTCTTCTT